AGAGAGAGAGAGAGAGAGAGAGAGAGAGACTCTGCTGACCTTATTACACGAAGACAAACAGCCACATTTACATGAAAAATATACTTTAGTTTTATATTCATATTTTCCAATCTTCATTCATTGTCTGTTTAATTTTATACCCCGTATTTTATTTTCATTTGGATGTTTTCAGTTCCTGTATTTCTGTTGTAGCACCTTATTCACTTCCTATTTTATGTATTGTATTGTTTTGACTATTAGTACTGATCAGAAAATAAGGATCATTACGATTTGTGTTTCTGTATTATTTTCCTGACAATTAAGCACGTCTCCCATACTCTAAATTCACGATTCATGTGGATGTTTTTTCTTCTTCAATACTATTTCTCATTAGATTCTCAATAATTTAATATTGTACTTTTTATTACTCTTTAAAGTTTTTTTTTTTTTTTTTTTAATTTTGATTTTGGTTTTGAATTGACCTTTCAACACTTTCAAAGAACTGCTTGTAATATACTGCATATTCACATTAGACAAACATCTTAAAATATGATAATCAGTACTGATAACCAGCTGACAGGGTGGTAGACAATTAATAAATAGTCATACAATTAGCAGAGTATCTTGAAATAAGCACAACAAAGTATTTTCCAACTTTTCTTGTGTTGCATAATTTCATTCAAAAATGGGTGGAGAATTTACATTAATGGTTGCGAAACTTATCTACTGTAAAAGAAATGTGATGATATGGGAGGTGTTTTTATGAGCATACTTGTCATATTTTGTAATCATGACATAATGCTCTTTATGAAAGCAACTGTGGGTAATCTTACACTCGGAAGAGAGTGATAAGTATCAAAATACAGGTAAGACATGACATTATATAAGGTTTTTCCCCTCTCTCATGTGTTTTCCCTCAGTTGTCTTGTACTTGAAGACCAGGAAAAGATAGTATTTTCTTTTCTATTTCCTCTTGTCTGTGAGAGCATACTGTAAATGTATTTTGCATATACAGTATGTTACTGACATATGTTTATTAGAGATGACCAAACAGAAATGTTTGTCTGTGCAAGTAAACCTGTAATGTTTTGTTTTAAACAAAAATATAATTCACACGAAATTCAACCACATGCTTAAACTGATTTTTTTTAATGAACAGTACAATGGTGCACTTATTACTGCTTAATACTTTTAATAATTTCATTTTGTTTTTTAACATAATCTGGTTTCAGAACTGACCCAATCAGATCAACACATATCATTAAAGTAAGCAGCATTTGTGATTGATAGTATGGTATTGTGCTGTACATAATGTGCATAAACTCATTTTTATGTTTCGTGATTGATTGATACATTTTGTTGTTTACATACACCATTTATAGAGACATCACTGAATCATCAATGAACTGACTTTAGCTGAAAACTAACACTTTGTTATCGTCCTCTTGCATTATTGACAAACTATTTTCCTGTTTGACTCTGTAAAGCTGCTTTGACACAGTATTGTATAAAGCGCTATACAAATAAAGGCGACTTGACCTATAAAGAAAATGGATCATAAAACGTTAGGAACCTGTCAACACATGCAAGTTATTTGGACTCTGATGCCTTGCCATTATTTTATTATCACCAAAGTGACATTGGTGATTAGTTCCATTTTGGTTGCTCCAAGACAAAGCAAAAGATTAGTGCCTTTTTTTCTTTTTTCTTTTCTTTGTGGTTTAGTGACTCTTTGCATGTCGGTGTCTATTGTGTGCGCGTCTTGAGGAAGTTATAATGAGTGAGGTTACTAATATGTCCTGCTCCGTGAGCCACAGGTTAATGGTGTGTACTGAGTGGAGTGCCGGACGCTGGAGAAAGCAATCACTGGGGGTTGCCAGTCCACTGCTCTCTCTGAGGTCCTGTGTCAGTGGGCCCAGGTGTCTCCGGTGCTGATATTACAGCGGAGCAATGAGCTACAGCAAACAGAGATGAGTTTCCTCGCTGACCCCCACCGGCACACAGCTGCCATGACAACCAACATCCAGTGAGATCAGAGGAGAGGCTGGACCTGCAGCGTTCGTCTCTAAAGATAAAGTCAGTGCAACCTTAAAGTAAAATATCACAGCATTTAGCCATTATTGCACTCTAGATGTCACTACATTAGATGCAACATATCAAATCAAAAGGATCCGGAGTTTTTCCTCAGAACTAACTTTCTGAGCCAGACTAACTATGAGTAACAGACCAACTAACTATTATCTATGCTCTATTAATATTTGGCAAGTCTTCACATCTAATTTGATTACATTCATTTTTTTTTAAAGTCCGGCATGAATATTGTTACATTATTAAAATTAAAATGTGTTAAAACTTGGACATAATTTATTATTATTTTTTTTTTGTCAGGCGCTTCCTCTGTATAGAACTCTATTATAATGAACACAAGAGGGCAGTAAAAGTACATGATACAGAATTGGCTGTGATCCATATATTATCTTAAACAGCTTGTGCTGAACTTTACACTTAGTTACTGAACAGATCTAGTGTCCAGAATAACATAGCCATAACATAGCCTACTATTCTCATACTCACACTATTTCTGCAGTGTGCAAACTACTCAAATGTTCACTATAGAATTCTAAATTTGATCAAATGTGCTATACTACCAAGGACACTGCATGAGATACTGCATCCTATGATTTTTAACTTATCTTTCTTATATCAGTATTTATCAAACTACCATATGTTTTTACACAAAACTGGATACATTTTATTGAAACTATTAACTTACTGACTATACATGGCGTTTATGTATGTACATGGTATTATCTATGATGTTTAAAGATAAGCTGTCAAACGTTTTGAACACATTTTAGCCATTTATCCCAACAAATGTGTATTATCTTCATTCAATCTTATTCCAGGATAAATTGTAGTGTCACCCACGTTTACTAGGTTGCTTGCAACCCTGAAAATAAAATCTGTAATGCAAGATAAAACGAAAATGTGTCTTTTTCTCAGCGACAAATGCTCTGACTATATAATCTCGCCTCATGTTGAGGACGGCATTAGCTAGCAAAACGGCTGACCTGCCATTTTGTAAACATTATAATATCATTTGCAGTGAAGTCCCAGATTCCAGCTGGCTCAGGTGGCCGAATATGGATCAGAGAAGAGATTCTTGATGATGAGGCGCTTATTTTCAATCGGAGGTATGCAGATGTGATATTGTACGGAATGGTCTACAAAAGGAAATAAAGAGAAATCATTTACAAAAATATTCATCTAACATTTGTGTCTCATTGCACTAATACACTCAGAGAAATTAATCAACATAATACAAAATATACTTGACATAAAGTCTGTATTTCAATCCGTAAAACAACCATAACAATATAGTTAAAGAAAATACAGTAGTTCACCAGATAACACGGTGCTGTAAGCAGTTATATAAACAAACACTCTTGCTGTATTCGCACGTAACACTAGTGTGTGATGACTCAGCAGATTAGTTTGGCAAATTACGGCCGAAATTAACGGTAAAACCCGATCGATATAAACATCAGACATTACCAATAACATGCATGACATATACTAATCAGATACAAATGTATTTATGTACTCACATGTATTGCACGAACGCATTACACAGAACATAACCTGCAGCATAATAGGGACATCACCTGACCAAACCCGGAAAACAGGTCTTATCGCTTCCGCTTGTCGGAGAACGTGTTAACAGCCGTATTAAATAATAGCGATATCTATGGACTTTTAAGATAGTCAGTTAAACTAGCTAGCTGTTTTTATTGTTGATGTTTTATTAAATTTTTATATCTAAATGTGAAAAGAAT